AAAAAAACAACCTAACTTTGAGTCATGTTTGAACTGATGCAGCTTGGTCTGTGTTCTAGTCACCCAATTTAATTTATATATTCAGAAACTAGAGGGTGTTAGCTTTCAAATAATGTATGACATGTAATTTGGTCTTGCAGTTCCTAAGCTATTTGCTTCTCCATTTGGGTCTGCAAAATAGGCGATAATTTACCAAAATGAGGTTGATGTTAAGAGGTTAAAGGTCTACCTAGGAGGGTTTGGGGTCCTTCGATGGAGAGATGGGGTCCTATATGTATTTAGGCTTGGTGAAGACTGACTGAGCAGACAGCGCCCTCTCCTGTTCAGCTCTGTGTACTACCCACAAACCGTAGATGATTTTTGCTCTAATCCAGTTTGACATTTGTAGCAAATGTCTTAGCGAAGGTGTAACATGTAAAGCTGAATTTGTGACTCAGCAGATTTGAGCAGCTGTATTCCCTCATTTTTAGTTGCATTAAGACAAAACTATTATAATAAAAGAATGGGAAGATATCAATGCAAGCGTTTGATTTGTTTTGCACCATTCATTTTAGATCAGCTGGATCAAACTGAGAATACAGTCTTTTATGTATGACTCACAAAGTAACATTTATGCAGTTGTATTCAAGAATATGAAGAGGTGAAACTTTTTTGTAATTGTGAAAGAAAGCAAAACTCTACAATTACAAAACTAAAGGTTAAAATGCACAAACAGCTGTGCAACAATAGCTTTTAATCAATTGGAGAAAAACTGAGAATGCAAGAGGTTCTGGATTTAGGATTCACAGTATTCTGTCAGTCCTACATCGTAAATTTAAAAAGTCCCGGTTTTAAGATGTATAACTTTCCTTTCTAGATGTAAAACTTAGGAAAAAAATCTACAATTACAAAACGTATATTTTATTTTTCTTTGCAACTTCAAATTCAGTTCCATTGCACATATACTTGATTTGACATGACCTTAACAGTGGCAGTCCCATTTTCTGTTATGATGGATATTTACATGTTTTCACAATAGTTTTTTGTTTCTGCTTCATAATAAAAAGCAGAATTGAAGATATTTAGCACACAGAGATATTATTTTGGTTTTGGTTTCACATGTTCTTATTGTCTCTTTTAGACCAGCCGTGGATCTGGAACATCCCCTACAGCCAGGAGCCGGACACCCACGGCAACATCTGGGTTCCCTCTTAGAAACACGCTTGTACCCAAACTGTTGGTACCTGATAGCCCCCTCTGTAGCCATTAGCTGAACATAAGCTATTTTTATACTCTACTCTAGACTCCCATTTTCACTAAATAAATAAATAAAATCATTTTTGGTCTGCCATGCTCTGTTGATCACCTATCTTCCTGCAGATGTTGCAACAGGATATGTGTTGAGAAGGGTATTTAATTTTAATTTTGTTTTTTTTTTGTTTTTTTTTTATTAATTGTTTTTTTTTCTGTTTTGTTTCATTTTTAAGACTATTACAGTTTTTTATGTGATATAAATCCATAATAAGGAATGCGATCATAGTAGGGATGGATCCGGGTGAGGTAACAGCTTCTCGCAGTCCAGGAAGTTCCACTCTTGTCCAGACTGTCAATGAAGCTTCATTCCGGATTCACAAGAATCTCTATCAAAACAAAATGCATAATCACCCAATTAAAGTAGTGAAAATGAAAGTGTACATGCAGACAGGTCACATGCAGATGTGTCAAGTAACGAAGCGCAAATACTTTGTTGCTGTACTTAAGTACACTTTTTAGGTATCGATACTTTACTCCATTACTTATTTTTCTTCCTACTTCTGACTTCTACTCGTTACATTTTCACTAAAGTATCTGTACTTTCTATTCCTTATATTTTAAAACAAACGTTACTCGTTACTCTTTGCTTCGGTTTAATGGTTATAAATATTTATTTCACGTCATGTGCGCCATCCAATGCAGATTATTGGCTCCATCCGCATCTAGTGAAAACTAGTGTAATTGGATGAGTCATAGAACGCAAAAACTCATTGGTTTGCTAAAGGAAATCATCAGAAGCAAGCAGGTGTTCTTCAAACTGCAAACGTGAATTGTCTATGCCATGCTACAATGTTTCATGATTCAGAAAAAGATGTTGAAATGTCTGAAAGGTCGGACACAGGTGAGAGCGTATCGGGAGATGGAGACCAACAAGACCTCCCTCATCCTTGGCCCTATCTCAAAGAATTTTTAGAAATAGTCGTAAAATTGAGCTTTCAATTCATATAGTGGCATCTGGCTGTTTTTTTTTTTTTTTTTAAGGTTACTTTTTACTTTTAGTTTTTGGAGCACAGACTTTTTCACTTTTACTTTAGTAAAGAGGTCAAGTTTATACTTCTACTTTTACCAGAGTGTTTTTAAACTGCAGCATCTATACTTCTACTTAGGTAACAAATGTGTGTACTTTTGACACCACTGCTCACATGGCTGCATTACAGCTACTAGAAAACCAGATAACCAAATATGTAAAAGTATGGATAGTTGTGTAAAAAACACTCTGCTGAAGTACAGATTAAACTATTCATTGTACTTAAAATGATATAAAATGTTCAAGAACTATTCCTAGAATTTGTTTTCCTTATTGTATTTGTAGAGGGAACATAAAAATTGCTGACTTGATTTATTTTTTTTTCCAAATTAACATTTAAGAAGGGATAACTGGACAAAGGTCCCGCATGAGCAGCTGAAGGCTTTTAGAGCTTTTGTATTCACATCATTAAAGCTCCAAAAGGTATTAAAATGAATAAGGAACTTAAAACATAATCACCATGTCACATTTAGAGAAGGAATGGAAGTGGAATCTCTTGCATCTCTGAATCTGATCTGTCATGTGTTGTTTTGCAATTGGACAGAATTTCTTCATGCTCTTGATCTTCCCTGTTTTATTACAGCGTGTTTTCTGTATATATAGGAGTGTAGTGAGTAAAAGGGAAAATTGCTAAATACTTTCAGACACCAAAAAAGCTACTTGGGTACAATGATCAATTTATACTTGGTTACTTGACACCGGATGCTCCCATGTCGGTAGGATTCCATGCTCTAAGGTTTGGGAAAAACCAGGTTGGTTCAAAGCCCAGTTCCATCATCTCCTGCAGCCATCACCACTCATCTGTTATATTTCACCATCAGTAGATAAACACTGAGTCAAACTAGAAATCTATCATCTTTCCACACGTTTAATTGGTTAATGTGGGGGAACCAGGCTCCCATTAGAGTTGGTTCTTTGTCAGGACATCGAGTGAAAACATGAAGATCCTCATGTGAGCAGAAGCTGATCTTAAATGTGCTACCTGACTTTAAAAGAAAAAATGAACAAGAGTCCCCTGCTTTGCATGTGAGCCAATTTCTACCAAATTTCACAGTTTTGTCTGTTTTCCTAATTTTTTTGCCAGTACAACATGTTTAGCAGTAAATATGTCACAGCTATGTTACTATTAATCCATACCAACAGTTCTTATGATTCAACTTGGGCTGCTTCCAAAATACAATCATTTCAATATCACAGACACACAGGATGGCTTTGATGCAATGTTTGGAAAGCTTTTAAATTTAAAGCCATATTAATATTTTTCCCACCCATAAGGGATATTGCACAGATTTGATTACATTGATTTGTAGACTTTTGATGGGTGGCAAGAAAGATCACCTGAAAAAAAACCTGTTAATTGTCATAGCTGGAAAAATAAAAAATATACATTTGTAAAGTATATCATAGCAAGCGAGAAACAAGTAATATTTTTATTTTTTGGTTTCTTATAAACCAAACTCTGATTTAACCCTTTAAAGGGCAAGTTAGCGTTTTTGATCACTGCATACCCCTTACAAATGGACCCCCACCGCCTCAGTGAGATCTAGAAGCACTAGATCTATATCCAGCCATTCAGCAAAGCTCCTGCTACATGGCTGTACATCTTATTTTGGCATTTGACCAATTAGATGAGACCTTGATTGATATATTACCTACTGGAAAATAAGTTAGAAAAAAAAGGTAAAAAGCTAATTGAAAAAATTAAAAAGTAAAGTTAAAAAGTTAATAAGCCTAGTTAACAATTTAGGTTTATAAACAAAAAAATGTAAGTGCCAGTATCAGCATTAATACATCTAAGGTTATGTTGGACCAAAAAAGGGGTTATTTCTGAGTGTTTTTCATGAATTTCTTATAGCAGCATTTTTGTTATTGTTCTTAATATATTCGGGCAAGTTGGCGTTTCTTGTTTTTTTTCACTGACATACATTTTTACCATAAAAATATAATAAATATAAATTAATTTTAAAGTATTTCACTGAGCGCCCTACAAGCCCTAGAAATTTAAAGTATTTATATTAAATATCACAGAAAAACGACTCGTTTCTTACACCTTATTGCGATTAATCGGCCACTATCTTCTGGTAAGGCAAAAACAAAAAACCTTTGAACTACAATTCCCATCGGCCCTTGCGTCAGAGTGTCAACATGGCGTCTGTCTGCCGGACAAAAGGCGAATCTGTCTGACGGCGGATTGAAACCCAATTAGAAGAAGGGGGGAGACATTTTGGGAAAACTGTAACAGCCCCTGGATCTCTGCGCTCCGAGGAGGGAAATCTATGATCCAACTAACATCTGTGGAGGCTCTCAGACTGGAATAAGGTGAGTCTTTCTGCCCCAACAACTGCTGTCTTAACGGTCCTGCTGCTGCTGCTGCTGCTGCTAGCTCCGATCTGTTTCCCTTTTTTTTTTTCCTTCCTCGCAGTAAGACGATAACTGAAAAGTCCTTTAAAATCCCCACAGCCGCTCGGCTTCCCCTCACTTAGTTAGTATTTCACCTCCCAAACGGCCTAAGCGAAATAAAAGCCAAGGTTTAGACTTATTGCTGGTAAATGTGCAGCTCTGTCCTCAGTCTTACATGGAGTCAACTTTTTCTAACCGGTGGTAAATGCTAATAACAGCCCAGATGTTGGTTTGATGCACAATTACATACAACTGCAGCTGTTCTATAGGAGGAGCCATTGCAGTTAAACAGGACTGTATTTTAATCTCATGGACATGTGAAATGATTTATTATAAATCACAGAACTTCTTAGCACTGCTTGTTTTTTCTTGATGCACTTGAAGTTGTGAGTCCAGCCTTAAAGTTGATCTTTGGCTCCACATGTGTGCAGCAGATCAGGCTCCATGCCACGTCTGGTTAGGATGGTCAGTTCACTGGGTTCAGCCACTTCTCTGCAGTTATTCTTTAACAAGTTTATTCTTTCCTTTGGAGGAGGGATCCGCTCCACATGTCCTTCAGTTATTCTTGGAGAAATGAACCCGATATCCAGATTTCCTTTACAGTCTGATAGAGAGGCTGCTGGAAGATGAGGTCTGAGTGTTTTTCATGCCTGAGTAAGAATGGAAAGGTTTGATGAAGGGAGGAGAGCAAACCTGGTTCCAGATTGTTTTCCATCCATCCGTCCGTCCATCCATCCATCGACTCATCTATTGAACCATCCATCCATCCATCCATCGACCCTTCCATCCATCCATCGACCCATCCATCCATCCATCGACCCATCCATCCATCCATCAACCCATCCATCCATCCACCCATCCATCCATCCATCCATCGACCCTTCCATCCATCCATCGACCCATCCATCCATCCATCTATTGACCCATCCATCCATCCATCCATCCATCCATCCATCCACCCATCGACCCATCCATCCATCGACCCATCTATCCATCCATCCATCCATCCATTGACCTGTCCGTCCGTCCGTCCGTCCGTCCGTCCGTCCATGCATCAATAATAAATGTGCAGGACTACTTTATTGTTGTCTAATCCTCTTTAGGCATGTATCAGACTGAGGTCAACCTCATTAACTAGAATCTTTTAAATCCCCATCTCCTAAGCCACTTACTTGTCATTTGAAATACCAGATTTTGAGCTGTTTGGTGCAAACATCCTTCTGCCAGTGCATGCACTTTCATGTAATCCCCCCACTGCTTTGGAGACACTTTATAAGAAGCTCCCAGCATCTTGTCAGCGTTATAGGATTGACCCTCTCTTTCTCTGCTCGCTTTGCATCTAAGCTTCCCAGTTTGTTTCACTCTGAAGTTTTTTGCCGTTTCATATTGCTCATAGGCTCATTTTGATGCAAACATCTGTTTAAAGAAAGATGACAAACATTATGATGAACTGTATCTTTCAAGCCACAAAGCCACATGTGGTTTTCAAGAATCAACCTCAGAAGAGACTTTGATTAGAGCAGAACAAACAGGAAAAAGTATTTTATTCCTTAGACTTTTTTTTTTGTTAACATTTGATCGCATTTCAACAATATGTTTTTGTTTAGATTTTATGCCTTTGACACGAAGTTGCGCTTAAATTTGAAGAGGAATAAAAAGCATAGATAGTTTAATTTTCTTTTCACAAGGTAAAATCCTAAAAGTGTGGCGTGCATTTGGAGCTTCTGGAATTGCCCGTCTTTGGAAGAACTGTTTGCAGATTAAAGATTCACAAAGATTCTCATATATAACAGAGCCATTCTAACAGGATTTAATTCAATCTAAACCACTCTGCTCTAACTTTGGCTTTGGGTGTGCTGTTGCCATGCCGATGGACAGTGGACACCTCTTTTTTATTCTAGAAATCCTCTGTATTTAGCTCCAGTAGCTTATCTTCCATTCAACTCTGACTGGCATCACCACAGCATAATGCTGCCACCACCATGTTTCACCATGGCAGTGCTGAGTTGATAGGATTGTTCAATGTTAGTTTTTTTTTTTCACTCAGTTTTGGTTTCATCCAACCAGAACTCGCTGAGACGCAGTTTTTTATATGGCTTCCAGCAAACTTCAAATTGAACTTCTTTTAGTAACCCTTTTCTTCCCACTAGTCCTGAAATGCCATTCTAATGTGATTTGTAAAGAAGCTAGAGAACATCTTATCATTTTCTTCTCTCCTCACATATATGTGTTTTTTTATATATATATATATATATATATATATATATATA